CTCCAAAACATTTGCTCTTTTTTACACCCAACACCCCTGCTTTCCCCACGTTCATTGCCCAGTGGAGGAGAGCAACATTGGTCCCTCCAGGTCTTGGTGCCTTTGTGTTTGGGACAAACACTCTAAGAGGTGCTAAGTCCTGCAAGGGAGCCTCTTCTGGGGTTTGCCTGGACGAAATCACTAAACGCTGCCTTTGCAGAGTTCTGACCCAGGATCTTTCAACTTGATATTCTTATTGATAAACTAGGCAAATATAACTTAGATAGGGCCACGATAAGGTGGGTGCATAATTGGCTGGATAACCGTAGTCAGAGAGTTGTTGTTAACGGTTCTAAATCCTGCTGGAAAGGGATAACAAGTGGAGTTCCTCAAGGGTCTGTTTTGGGACCCGTACTATTCAATATCTTCATCAATGATGTAGATATTGGGATAGAGAGTACGCTTATTAAGTTTGCAGATGATACCAAACTGGGTGGGGTTGCAACTTCTTTGGAGGAGAGGGACATAATTCAAAATGACCTTAGCAAGTTAGAGAAATGGTCAGAGGTAAACAGGATGAGGTTTAATAAAGAGAAATGCAAAGTGCTCCACTTAGGAAGGAACAACCAGTTCCATACATACAAGATGGGAAGCGACTATCTAAGAAGGAGCATAGCGGAAAGGGATCTAGGGGTCATAGTGGACCACAAGTTGAATATGAGTCAACAGTGTGATGCTGTTGCAAAAAAAGCAAATATGATTCTAGGTTGTATCAACAGGTGTGTTGTAAGCAAAACTCGTGAAGTCATTCTGCCGCTCTACTCTGCACTAGTTAGGCCTCAGCTGGAGTACTGTGTCCAGTTCTGGGCACCACATTTCAAGAAAGATGTGGAGAAATTGGAAAGGGTACAGAGAAGAGCAACAAGAATGATTAAAGGTCTAGAGAACATGACCTATGAAGCCAGGCTTCATGAACTGGGCTTGTTTAGTTTGGAAAAAAGAAGATTAAGGGGGGACATGATAGCGGTTTTCAAATATCTAAAAGGGTGTCACAAGGAGGAAGGAGAAAATTTGTTCCTCTTGGTTTCTGAGGACAGGACAAGGAGTAATGGGCTTAAAGTGCAGCAGGGGAGGTTTAGATTGGACATTAGGAAAAAATTCCTAACTGTCAGGGTGGTCAAATATTGGAATAAATTGCCAAGGGAGGTGGTGGAATCTCCCTCTCTGGAGATATTTAAGAACAGGTTAGATAGACATCTGTCAGGGATGGTGTAGACAGAGCTTGATCCTGCCTTGAGGGCGGGGGGCTGGACTCGATGACCTCTCGAGGTCCCTTCCAGTCCTATTATTCTATGATTCTATGAAAAGAGTGATTTCGCAGATATTATTAGTGCTGCTTTCAACTGGTACACAATATAGAGCCACCATGCTTAACTTGCAAGCAGAGATTTTCCTAGAAGGATCTTAAAGGAAAGGTATGCTGTTCTTAAATAAGGATACACAAGCAAAATACAGTCTTCCCTCCTCATCTGTTTGTGTGTTCCAGCATCTTAAACAAAAGCACACAAAGACAGAAGGCCCCTGTGGAGGGATATTACAGGTACAGCCACAGCTTACTGCTAAACCTTCTTTGAGTTCATGAGCTAGGTGATAATTCCAAATTGAGTTCCTTAAATGCAAAGCTCAGTAGTCATTTCTAGTTAATAAACAGGCAAACCAAGCATTCTAGTGACGCAAGAAGGAGAGTCACTCTGTCTCTTGCCTTTCATGGGCAATCAGATCACAAAGATCTGACTGCAGAACAGAGGATGGAAGTGTCTGCAAGAGGGGCAGTCACTGTGTATTTGCTCTTTGTACAATTTGTCTTCTAAGTTCTATTGTGCTGCTTCCAGAGCAAATAAGAGATAAAAGAATCATAGGACCCTAGAGTGGGCAGAGACCTCAGGAGGTCATCGAGTCCAACCCCTTGCTAAAAGCAGGACTAATCCCAACTAAATCACCCCAGCCAGTGTTGTGTCAAGCCAGGACTTAAAAACCTCTAGGGATGGAGATTCTACCACCTCCCCAGAGAACCCATTCCAGTGCTTCACCACCCTCCGAGTGAAATATCACCACCCTCCAGTGAAATAAGGGAAGGCTTATTACATAAGAACATAAGAACGGCCGTACTGGGTCAGACCAAAGGTCCATCTAGCCCAGTAGTCTGTCTGCCGACAGTGGCCAGCACCAGGTGCCCCAGAGAGGGTGGACCGAAGACAATGATCAAGTGATTTGTCTCCTGCCATCCTTCTCCAGCCTCTGACAAACAGACATACCTTTTAACCTGTCATTATTCAAATAATAATTTTCCTGCCACATTTCTCCAGGAAAATCACAATTTGGCTCAGCAGGATATACAATTATACAAGTCTACACTGTGGTTTTGAAGGAGCTGCTAGGGAACACTAGCTCTGGCTAAAGGATGACAGTTCTGCTTGGTGACAACTTTTGAAGTGTTGAAGTTTGTTTTCACTCCATATGATAAGCCCTTTAACATTTTTACAAAGCAGAATTGTGTCAAAATCTCTGCTTTTGTATCCAAAATATCAGGATTTTGATTTGAGTCTCTTTTTCTCTTGGCTAAGAAGACACACCAGAAGGCCCTGGAGCTCAGAAGTCATCCTGTTGAAAGCCTAATTGAAATGGATATGACTCCACAAACCATCTTAGCTTCAACCAATCATCTTGGTTGATTTAGTTGGGATTGGTCCTGCCTAGAGCAGGGGGCTGGATTTGATGACCTTCTGAGGTCTCTTCCAGCTCTATGGTTCTAAGATTCTATGATCTTCTCTCAATGAAAATATATGTAGTTGAAAATGTTCTGTACAGCTCCAGTTACATCAGAAGCACTTTCCCCTCAACACTAAGACACAGGGAATGGTTTGTTGTTATCACTTGAGCTGGGCGAACTGTTCCCAGTTAACTATTTATTCAGCATTTTTAGTCCCTGTTCTCTTTGTAAATTATCCACCAGCAGATTTGATTTTATAAATTGTCCCGGTAATCAACAATTGGGGTGTGAGACACTTTTTGGCTTATAATTTGCTTATGACCTGTCCACCCACGATGACTGTTTCAAGCCTTTTCTCCTCCTAATTTGCTACTTCTGCTACATGATGGTCATCAGAGTCACATGGCCTGAGATGTTCTAAAATGGGGGCTGACAGTTAGGTTCTTAGTTCTATATTTAGGCGCCTAAATAACAAGTGGCCTGAATTTCAAAAGTCCTGAACACCAAGCAGCTCACAGAGACTTCAGCACTTCTGAAACCCAGCGTATTTATGTAAGTATCTAAATATGGACTGAGGCGCCTGACTTCTAGCCCCCATTTTAGACAGCTTTCATCACCACGTTGTTTCTGTTCCCTGACACCTTGTCTCTTAGAACTCAGACAGGGCTTTCAAAGATGGCCGTGCAAACACGTCTGAGGGAAAACTGATGCAAATATGTGCAGGTGTCCAGTTCCTGCAAACAGTATTTCATTTGTGTGTGTGTTTGTGCACAGCAAATAAAAAGGGATCTTGCAAGTGCTCGTGAATAATCCAATTCCTGGCTTTTATTCCAAGTTATAGTTCAGGAACAGACTTTGGCACTAGCTCTAATTTATATGCAGACAACTCCCATCCCAGAGAGGTAAATGCTCCCTGTCTGCAGTCACCTATCCTCCCTCAGCTCCACATACACAAACACCCTGCCAAATGCTCCCTCCCCTCCATACGTTTACCCCTTCCCTTCTCACACATTATTGCCACCTCTCCACCCACCCACCCACACACACGTCTCTCACTGTGCAAACCCCTCCCTGTAGTGCTCCCATTCCAACATATGGGCTGTGGGACATGCTCTCCCCATGCACTCTTTCTTCTTTGTGTACTGTACTGTTCCCAGAGGCCGGAGCTCACGGGCAGACGGCTAGACCACAGTGTCCAGCAGCAGCACCTCTTTTTAGAACTGAGAATAATGTACTTTAAAGAGGAAGCAGCAGCAAGAAACCAGCTTGTTATTTGATTACAAAGAAAAACATTTTTTTTAAAGTCTGTTTCCAGCGGCTGTTGAAATGAAATGATTGTTAGGCTGAGGGTCCTAGCAGGTTAATTTGATTCCTCCCAGGCTGACACTATCTTTGGATGGTTGAGACACAACAAACCTTGTGTCTTGGCAGGGGGTTACATGAGGTGACCCTGGTGGTCCCTGTTCACCCTAGGATTCTATGGCCACGGATGTCTTCCTCTGGCAAACATTAAAAAGTCTCGAACTCTGATCTCTCTTGCTGCCCCAACCCCCCGACTCCGAATGTACCAGCTGCACTCAGCCAAACAAATGCAGAGACACTGATCTCTCCAGTTCAGTCCCTCATCTTAATTCCAGCAGAAGGGTCTTGAAGGGAAATAGCTGCTAAGGACACAGGGATGTTCCCCCTGTTTCTACCCTCCTTACTACCATGCATCCTCTGCAGAGCCATGTCTCTGTTCAGGCTGATCAGAACAGGTCCAGTGCTGGCCTCCAAAGCAACCCGCCTGTTTGCCATGCACCTGCTGGGCTGTCCCAGGCATTTACCAACTGACCTGGGGGGGGGGTCGAACATGCACAGAGCTGTGAGCAATCCAAGGGGACAGAGTGCCTGCTGGGCACCATGCTCACGGGAGGGTTTGTCCCCACTCCAGAGATAACAAGGCCCCATTCCTGAGCTCATTGATCCATGAGACATCCTTGGATTTTTGTCTCCTTTTAATGTGGGGTTTTGCCCCCCTCATTAGCGTGGTTTGGTCCACAACCCCCATCAGAAATGTGGGGGTTTCGTCCTCTCCATCACGCTCTGCAGCCAGACCAGGTTAAACCTACCACTTCCTAGGGTAGCACTTCCTAGTAGGTGGGCTGGCGGTGTCTCTGTGCTGGGGAGGAGGGAGAGGTCCTCACACGGGTGTGGGGGGGAGGGGGAGCAGGAGCAGCTGAGCCACGCGCAAGGGAAAGGCCGTACTTACAGAAGACAGAGCGCGTACGCCGAGGGGATCGACTCGCTGGCCCGCACGAGGAAGCCGCCATCCTTGCCCACTTTGGAGAGCAGGTCCTCGGCCTTCGCACGAGTGATGTTCCCGTGGTACCAGCACTGATCCATTGCCAGAGCTGGAGGAAACAGTAATGACAATCCAGCAGTCAGTGCTCAGGAACTGCCCGAGCTGTTTGTGTGTCTCAGTAACACTCAGCAGCTGCAGCTCACCAGCTTCCTGTTTCAATGGTACAGAGAGGGAAAGGAAACCAAGCTGAGGACAACTTCCTCAGCAATCAAACTGATCACAGTGAGCATGACAGGTTCCTCCAGCCTCCACTCCCCTTCAGTGTTGTAACACAAGCTGTTAACCACCTGTGTCTCCCCCCCCCCATCATCGCGGCATCAGAGAGTCCCAGCCTGGGGGTACAAATCCGCTACCCCCCCTTGGGAGTAGCTCCATTGACTTCCCTGGAATTTCCTTTGATTTATAGCACTGTAATTCAGTGCTGAACCAGGGACTCCTTCTCCATCCCTCTCCTTTCTCACTTTCCCTGCCTCTGTCTCATGGTCAGGGCCCTAGCCTTCAGCCTGGGAGACCTGGATTCAGTTCCCAGACTTCCTGAGCATCCGTCTGCAAATCACTGAGGCTTGGTCTGCTCTTGAAAAGTAGATCCACCCAGCTATGTCACTCAGACGCGTGAAAAAGGCCACACCCTGCGCACCGCAGTTAGGTCAACCCAACTCCGAGCATAGACATGGCTACGGCAATGGAAGAATTCCTTTGTTACCTACCTACCACCTCTTGGAGAGGCAGATTGCATTACTTCAGGGGTGGGAAATCATTTTTGCTGGGGGGGGCACTTAATGGCTGCACCCCCAGAAGGGGCAGGGCTGGGTGTGAGCCTCCCCCCAGAGTTGTCTAGGGCTGGGGTCTTTGAAGTAAAAAGACAGCAAAGGGCTCGTGGCTCCTGGCCCTGCCGCTACCACATTGCCTGGAACTGCTGGCAGCCTCCTGGGGTTGCTGTGGCTATTTAAAAGGCTTGCGGCTCCGACCCCTGCCAGCATAGTGCTGCAACCAGGAGGTGTAAGCCATGCAAATAGGATCCTGCTGCCTGAGCCACTGCCTGGAAATTCAGTGGCACAGGCAGCAGGATATAAATAGAAAGCGGCCAGATGTAGTCTGTGGGCCGAATTGAAAAGTTAGGTGGACTGATCTGGCCCCCAGGCTGCATCTTGTGCAGCCCGGTCTTACTTCCATGGAAAACCCCCTTCCATCAGCAGAGGAAGCATCTACACACCAGTAGCTCAGCTATGGCGCTGAAGAAGCTGTTGTGCAGACCACAGGTGAGCAACAATTTTCTTGGAGGAGTCACTCCACGAATTTTAGCAAGTCATCACGGGCTGCACATTTCTATTGTATGAAAGGAGGGGATGTGGGGTCCGGGAGGGAGTTTGGTGCAGGCGGGGGCTCCAGGATGGGGCAGGGGCATAAGAGGGGGTACAGGGTCTGGGAGGGAGTTGTCACCTGGGGCAAGGGGTGCAGACGGTTTGGATGGTGATCTGCGGGAGGGAGTTTGGATGCCAGAGGCAGCATTAGAGGGGGTACAGAGTCTGGGAGTTTGGCGCACATCTTGCCCAGGAGCCCATGAAAACTGTTGGCCCCCAAGGAGGCAGCCAAAGTGCCACATGTGGCTCCAGAACCAAAAGTTGCTGAGTCCAACTCCTGTTCTAGTAGTTTCCTCAATTGCTGGGAGTCATGGCAGGCCAGACAGAAATATTAGCAGGGTGGATCTGGCTCCCAGGCCATATTTTGACCACCCGGGGTATAGACAGACCTTTAGCCTCTCTGTAACTCAGTTCCCCCTGTGTACAATTGGGATAACGGCATTAGCCAGCGTTAGAGGGTGGTAGGAGATAAACCCATTAAAGACTGTGAAACACTTTGAGATCTACAGATGAAACATGTTGTGTAAGCACTAGAGATTATTATTTCCCCTCTGACATACCCAGGACCCTCCAGGAGGATAAACAACCGGGTTATTACCATGGGCTTGCTGTCCCCAGAGTGCGCCTTTCTTACCTGCTGTATTGATGCTTTAATCTTCAGGAGAATGTGTCCTGAAAATCTGGCTGGGTGACACGTGGGACTTGTAAACTATGCCCAGCCTGCATGGAAACAAATCAGTCTTTGAGGCAAGCTTTGTTCTGAGATCCGGTGACCTCACTCCTCCCTCTGTGACACAGTGTCAGGCACACCAAAGGTAAGTCAGACTCTGGCTGCCCAAGGTGGGAGGGAACGGAGTCCCTTTGCACACGGAGAGGGAGACCAGTGCATTCACTTCCCTTTCTTTGTCTGTATATGGCTGTTTTAGGTTCCTGTCCTGACTCTGGGCTTACTTTAGGGATGTTAGAGTGTAATTGAATAGTTGTGCAACTGCATGACATTTTAGCGGTTACATTCAATAGTCCCTGGATGCATGGCCGGGTGTAATGTTGAAAACTCCTACTTTATAGGAATGAGTTACAGATAGCACTTTCTTATTGGTACGCTCATAAGGAAGTGCTACTGTACGAAACAGCTGCTAGCGACAGCACAATCTTACATGCAGCAGTTCCCAACATTTCTGTTGAAAACAGCTCCCTGTAGGATTGTGGTCCTGGGGGCAGTTTCTGATTTCCGGAAATAAGAAATCGCTACTGTAAGAAACTCCTACTGGAAGTATCACTTTCATCTTTGCTGAATCCCGGTCTTCTATGGAACACTATTTTGGAAATTCTGATTTGAAAACAATGTAGGAGTCCACCAACAGTTGTTTACAAACCAGTGTTTCTCAACCTTTTTTATAAAGTACCTCTTTTCCAAAAAAAAGCACAAGTACCCCCAATACCTACAGTTTTCAAACACAATTTTTTTTCTACCATTGTAACACATTTGTTAAACAACTTAATCGTAGCCGGGTAGGAGTTGACATTTTTTTCATGTAAAAAGTAAAAAAAATAATAAAATGCTGTGAAATTTAAAACAAATTCAGTTGTCTCCAAATTTCAGTTGTGCTGAACTACCCCATCCCCAGACATGTCTCAAGTACCCCTAAGGGTACTTGTACCACTGGTTGAGAAACACAGCTCTAAACAAATAACACAAGTACACTTATAAATGCTTTTAATGAAAGTGTAAAAGGCTCTGTAAAAGTCCTGCAAAAATGCAAATATCATTGCTGGTCTGAACTCCAGGAATCTGCTAGACGTGAATCAGCCTTAGGCTACATCTACACTGCGCATTGTTGTGCAAGAAGATATGCATATGAGGCGCAGCGATGAATACCGCCACAGTTTATTTGCATACCTAATGAGCCATCACTTTTGTGAAAGGGGATTTTGCACAAGAAGGAGTGGTCTACACTGCTCCTTCTTGTGCAAAAAACTCCTCTTGCACAGGAGCTGTTCTGCTGCTTATTTTCAGGCAGAATGGTTCCTGTGCAAGAGGGGTTTTTGCAGAAGAAGGAGCAGTGTAGACAGCTCCTTCTTGTGCAAAACCCCCTTCCGCAAAATGGTGGCTCATTAGGTATGCAAATGAGGCACAGCAATATTCATCGCCACATCTCATTTGCATATCTTCTTGTGCAACAATGTGCAGTATAGACGTAGCCTTACGGTTTGAGAGGGTAGCAGTTTCTTATACTGCAGACTAAGTAACTGTTCCCCATAGGAATGTCCTACCTCCACTAGGACTTTCACACTGGTCCCTGTAGGAACGTGATACTTCCAGTATTTACTTACAGGAGCAGTTTCTTCTGCCCTCTTTAAATCCATTTTTTAAATTTTGGTGTTTTCCTTCCTCCCATTCCTTCTAACATTGCTCTCCAACCTTTTTAACTGCAAGATCACTTTTCCAGCGTAAGTACAATGAAAGATGTTCCTCAAACCGAAATACCCGTGCCCTCACTTCATTCCAGCCCCTTTTTGAGGCCCTGCCCCCCTCCTCTGCGGCCTCGCCATGCTCACTTCAGTCCTCTTTTTCTCCCAACCTCAATCATTTGCACAAGGCTTGGGTAAGGGTTTGGGGAGAAGACCCTGTGCTTGTGCCTATGGGTTTGGCGTGTAAAAGGGGCTCTGGTCTTAGACCAGGGTAGGACAATGCGTTCCAGGAGGGTCTTCGGGTTGCAAACTCTGGCACTGAGTTTGGGTGCAGGGGGACTCATATCTGTGGCAAGAGGTTGGGTGTAGGAGGAGGTTCAGGGCTGGGACAGGGGTTCAGGAAGCAGGCTCTGGCTGGCTCTGTTTAACTGTGATGGCTTCTGGTGCTTTCCCAGTGAGGTTAAGGCAGGCTTACTTTGGCCTGGGCCCTGTACCGCTCCTGAAAGCCCCTGGCATGATGCCATTTGGTGCCCCTCCTCTACAAGCACTGACCCCACAGATGCAAAATAATGAAAATGGGTTGCAGAGACGGGAATGCAGTGAGTCCCGGGAATAAGAGAAATGTGAGAATTATTATGAAATTTCATGTCCTGTCTTTAGCCCCCTTTTTACATTTTGAACCTCCTTTAAAATGCAATAAGCAAAAACAGATAGATAGAGAGGGCAGGGCAAAGTGCAGGGGCATCTGCAGCACAACTAAGCATGCTCAGTGCCTCTGAGATAAATACATTATTTAAAAAATGTTCCAGCAAATAAAACAGCCCCCTTGCCATGGCCACTCTTCGACTCGTTCCTCGTCCCCACTGGGGAGGCTGTTTTTATCCCTCTGTCTTGCCTGTGCTGGGGCTTTGCTCCCTGCGTTATGATGTTTACCTGGCACCCCTCCCCCCACCAGAGCTGAGTTTGCCCAGAACAGCTCCAAACCCTGCCTGCATCGGCTTTACCCCCTTGCCAAGTCAATGTTAAGTCATCTCCTCTGCTGAGCCACTTGTCTTCTTTTTTCTCCTAACCCTGCCTGCATTGGCTTTACCCCCTTGCCAAGTCAACGTTAAGTCATCTCCTCTGCTGAGCCACTTGTCTTCCTTTTTAAATGCTTTTAAACTGTAGTGAGCAAAAACTTATAGCTAGTGTGGGCAGAGAGAAGGGCAGGGGCATCTTCCACCCTACTGAGCATGCTCAGTGCCTCTGAGGTGATAAAAAACATATTTATGCACATAAGAAAGCCCCTTTGCCATGACCACACATTGACTTGTGCCTCGTTCCCCCTGGGGCGGCTGTTTTTAGCCCTCCTGCTCTGCCTGTGCTGGGGCTTTGCACTCTGTGTTGATGAGTTTACCAGGTGCCCCTCCCCTCACCAGAGCTGAGTTTGCCACAGAAACGGTCCTAATCCTACCTGCATCGGCTGCACCCCTTTGCCACGTCAATGTTAAGCCACCTCCTCTGTTGAACCACTTTTCTTACTTTTTAAACGCTTTTAACATGGACTAAGCAGAAACTTACAGCTAGTTCTGGCAGAGAGAAGGGCAAAGGCTGCAAGAGAACTGCTGAGCACGCTCAGTGTGTACCACTTTTCTTACTTTTTAAACGCTTTTAACATGGACTAAGCAGAAACTTACAGCTAGTTCTGGCAGAGAGAAGGGCAGTGGCTGCAAGAGAACTGCTGAGCACGCTCAGTGTGTCTGCACATGCTCAGTAAGTAGCACAATCTCTCAAGTAGTTGCTTTCTGCATTACCCCGGCAGCCAGTGTGCTCCGACTCCACTGCCGGGGACCCCCTGCCACCTTGCACTGCTGCTGGGGCGGCAGGGAGGAGGCGGG